ATCCCTAAAATCATTTTGGGAAATGCTTAAAATTTGCAGTGGATGCTTCCATTGGCTGACCCTGTTTAAGTCAAGGGCACAGCTTGAATTAATATAAATCTTTGAAAGATCAAAGCTTTAAAAAAGCTTCATTTTTCTACTGACAGTATTTAGGCAGTGTCCATTACCACAATGGAGGAGCAGCTACTAGTCCTGAATTTCATATGCTTCTCTAAGGTCGTTACTGAGGAAACTGAGGCACAAGAAGACAAAATCACGTGCCTATGATCCCTGAGAAAGACAGGGGCAAACCAAAGAACTAAACCCCGTTTATTTATTTTAAATATTGGACTATCCCTCTGCATGGGAATACTGAGGGAAGGGTAAATCCTATTCCACAAGCAGATGGGCAAGAATATATACTGATCACGATACCCGTGTTACCCCTGTGTGCACAGATGTGTACACTACCCTGAATCCTTATGCTTTATCACACCACAATATTCTTTCTGAACTCTTGCATATGGATTCAATTTTGCACTTAAGGCAGAAAACCTCAGGTGTCAAAACAGAAGAGTTGCTATTTCCCAGATCCTCAGGAGGATGTCACAGTGTTATTTTTTTTCCTTTCGTACACTCACATACCAATAACATTCCCATATCTGATTTATCTCCAGTTCTGCACGCATCCGGTGCTGCACCCTGGGCTATCAAAATGCCTCCTGGTACTGGTGTAATTCTTGCTGAATTGCTTCCGGAAGCTGTTTGTACCTGACAATGATTTCATATTCACCTGGGCTGGTTAATAAGGACATTGCCTAATATTTAAGTGAGATCTGAGGTACCCAGCAAGCGACAGAATCAGGCTTTTTGCACTGTGGGAAGCCCCACCGTAAGCAATTATTATTTTATTTAATGGCACTAACTGTGCTGTGCTGGCGATGGCTGTGGGAATGGCTGCGTGTGATCCACTGGGAATCGCACGCTTTCACCCAGTGCACTGACCAGGAGGCACAAAGGAAAGGATGACGTGACACAAATGTCAGCGTAGACACATACCCATGTTAGCAATAACTGCAAGCTGCTATTTTTCAGAATAATTAAGTAATAATCTCTCTTACTTTGTAATACACTAAGCAATAAACTGCTGCTGCAATTGATTACACACCAAAGAAAAGCTAAGGTGTTTAATCAATCACTAGAGCCACTTACAGCAAGTAGAACACAAAGCTACAGAGATTATTGATATTACACAATGAGCCAGAAATGGGAATGAAAATTATCCCTATTCCTTCCTCTGTGGTGCCTTGCATGTGTTGTGCTGTTTTGCCTGTGCTTTCTGAGCAGTGAGCCCTTCGCCTCCACGTTTAGCTGAATCAAATATTGAGTGCAGGCTTGGTTCAGCTTGCACAGGGAAACCACAGCTATACTGGTTTCCATGCTGGGAACCTGACTTGGTACAGGCTGGAGAATGGACAGGGAATTGGCTGAAGCAGGTCCTAATAGGTCAAAAATGAGTGTTTGAAGGAAGATAATGTGGGGAAATGGACTGATGTGACTGAAGTGGGAAATCCCATAGATTTCTGGAAATTACTTCCGTAAATCAGGTTGTGGCACACCCTCCAAGCCCAGCTGAAGCTTTCTGTGTTCCTTGTTTTCACACACATTAGAATATCAGTATGCTCTGTGTAGTTATACTTCATCTATTTGGGATGGAGCCTTTTCTAAGCAACGAAGTGGCTAAAGCTGTATTGTAAGAATAAAATCTAGTCCTCTAAATGCATACACAATGGATTGGGGAAAATCTGTACAAATGTATACAGCTGTGCCCCAAATAGCGCATCCTGCATCACATCAGGAGGAGTTTTGTCAGTGGCATCAGTAGATGGAAACATTTAGAAAAGTCTGCTATCAGAAAAGCACTGATTTCTTGCCTTAAGAGCTAGGAAAAGACACATCTCTACCTGGTGCATACCCTCCTGCTCCCCACTCCTGACACAAACAAGGGCTATTTGGGGCATGGAGAGCCTGCCTGCTTTGTGTTTCAGTCTCACCTGAAGCAGGCAATGTGCACTTATTGTCCGTGGACAACATTAAATGTGGTACTTTCTGCTATTTGCCCTGCGAACTCTAAAGTTTAAACAGAATGATGTCATTTTATTGGCCTTGTAATCATTGTTCATATTATAAAGGTCACACATTTCACATTGTGGCAGAAAATCAATAGCTCTCCCAACAGCCTCTGGGGGAAAAAGTTTTGCTTCTGAAGAATAATATATAATAAACAATTTTAGTCCTTACTTTATCATGGCTGTAATCTTGGAGAATAGCTATAGTAAAAATCTGGCAAAGGCTGATATATAAACTCATTAAAATTGGGAAGTGATTTAGAACAGGACTTTAAAAAAGATTTATCTTGAGCTAAACAGCAAAGAGGTTTGTTTAGGTTTACATTTAAACAACCTCCAAGAGCTCTTTAACAGCTCAATTTTATGGTAGCTGTTGGGGAATTCTTTCAGATTTACAAATCATGTGTTTCTCCAGCAAGGTGATAGACCTGAGCAATGTGCAAGCAGAACTGAACCTGCAGATAAGCAGGAAGTACAGATATACTCTGAATGGTTCTGGGGGGGTTGTTACTGAAAAATATTTTGTATTGTCTGGAATAATTAGGTCTAACAAAATAAAGCCATGGCCTTTGAATATACTCTGGCTACTTATCCTTCAACTTAATTACTTAAACTAGAGAAGACAAAGGCACAGGGAGCTTTTTAACGCAAAAGATGGCTCAACTACACTCTCAAATAACAAATCAAAATTGGTGCCCCTTTCTGTTAACAAAAATATAAAAAGAGATAAAACATTTAAATACTGACAGCAGGAAAAATAACCCTGAAGCCTCATCTGCAAGACTTAGGAGTGGAACTGACAAAAGAAAAAGTAGAGAACTTTACATTTTTGGTATCCATTTGTCCTTGAAAATCATTTCCATGCATGTAATGCACAGTGACAAGAATCAGCACTAGTATTTTCATGCTTAATAGCAGTACAACTGAGTTTTCTGCATCTTGAGTCATAAATATATGTATATCCATGCATTTTCTCTGCATTATTCGTATCAACACGTCCACATAACAGAATTTCAGTGTGATTCAGTTCAAAACATTTAATAGTGAGATGCCTTGATTTGCAAAGGTGCATTTAGAGTCTGGCTAAAGTAGCTGTGTAAGTGAAACACAGCTAGCGCATCAATTTGTCAATTTATGGACAGTGCTACTGCCTCTAATTCAGGCTTCCCTCACGGTTTGGATATGCTGCCTTTAACCGGCTTGCAACATTATTTTGACTGACTAATGGTTTGGCTACAGCCTCACTCAATTTTAGATCAAATACGAAAAGCTACCTATACCCGGTACAGATGCCAGCCAGCTCTCTGTTTACAAGCTATAGTCACAAAGTCAAAACAAATTCTGGATGTTCAAAATGGAGCCATCTGCACGGAATAAACATGAAAAATGTGA